GACACACTGACACACCTCACTTTGCCATGTGCCAACAAATCACGATCTGAGTTTTTTGGACAAGCAACGAAACCATACAACGCCGTGTTTTGATTTTGCAGCACGTCTGCTCTGCTGGAAAAGTCGCAGAGACATTAATGCTCGTGTACTCTACTGCTTTCAGAGGTGAAGCCTGGTTGGGAACAAGTCTCGCGCAGAATTTCCTTCGTCTGTATATCCTTCATCTATGACCAAAACGCTTCCATCTATAAACACCCTGTTTGTGTATCTGTCGAAATGTTTACACTCCAGCAAGAAAGCTGACGAGCTTGATTGTTTGTACAATTCACGCAACTGATGTGGCAAAGGCAACATTCAGCGCTTATCGGCTCCCTGGAAGCAACCAATTTGACAGCAAAGTTTGGCAAAACAAACGCAAACGACTGTTTGTGAGGATGCTAGAAGCTGTCTGGCTGTGTGTCAACAAGATAAACATCCCGTCCGAAAAGGCCAAGATGCATTTTCGCCTTTATCTAACGAATCTTCCTGCCGTGAAGTTGCGAACAACATGCCCGTCACAATACTGGCATCGGCAAAGTGGGTCCTGGCAAGCTTGCTTGATTTTGCCTGCCGCGCTTCGAGGATCACTTGGTGTCCTGGACACAATCCGCAACACCGCTTTCCAAACTTATATGAAACGTGATGGCAAAAGCACAATTCCTGGAGCAACATTGGCCAGCAATGTCCGCCGGCCTCACACTCCTGGTCCAAGCTAAATGCCCACAAGAGTGCAGCATGCGCAATCTTGAGAAATATTTGTATCCCAAAACACAGACAAGCCGCGAAGCAAGCGGCTTGGGATTGAACAGAAACACGATGAAAATGCAGCGCATGCACTCAACAGAGGGCAAGGGATCTTGACAGCAAATATTGTCTCTGAAAGGTGAGAACGATGGAAGCAATGAACTTGACCAATCTTGGAGCGCCCACCTGAAGAGTTGAACATACAACGGCTGCGGCATCCAAACCTTTGCAACATGTTGTGAAATGGCATCCTCTCTGCAAGGGTCTGTGACCTCCATTCTGTTGCCCAAAATAATTGGCGGACTTCAGGCCTAAAAGGGGATCCTTAGTGATATGGTGCTTGCTACAGAAAATTGGCGCCAGTACCCCTCTTTCGAAAACCGGGCACATACGACAAATACGTTACATCCAGATGTGGTGTGTAACGCACGTACATTCCTCATAGCAACAACAAATTTTGTATGAATTATACATCAGCACAAAAAGCTTCAGTTGGAAGAAAAATATGATGTCAACACGACAAACCAGTGAAAACTTGTCATCCTGTCGCCATCATAGCCAGAACTCCTCTAATGGCGGATGGATAACGAATTTTCACACCAGCGCCTTGCGGATTGTGCGCGGGCTACCACGATCCCACACAAATTCACTTTATAGATCACACCGTCCAAAACAAAATACATATTCATCAATCCACTCATAAATATCGTAAAGTTGCAAATCACAGAGTCTGCAGCACGAGACTTCTTTTTCACGGCATCGCCGAGAGAATCTGGGGATGGTACATGTGCATGCCAGACGCACACCCAGTCTGGGAGAGATACTAGAACATCTCAACACACAGCGCACATAGAGTGCACATACCCAGTGCACTGAGAGTGCACACAATGCAGATGAGCATCTTGTCATCCCCCCTCTCGACTGATGCTAAACTCCGTCGGACGCAGCTTGGCTCCTACGCAGAAACAGCAGGATGTTCACGGACATAAGTCACAAGGAACCCAAGCTCCCCCATTGGCCTCGGGATGCAGGGTGACCAATCGCTTTCAAGCGGTATGCCGATATAAGCCACTCCGGCTTGTACATTGTAAAAAAGTCCAGGACATCGAGTCCTTCCGTGAATCAAGAGTTCCCTCCATGACCTGCCACTTGACGAGCCGGTCACGGAGCCAAGATGCGCGCTCCCTACATCCAGCCCAGCGATCTAGAACCTTCCTGGGCATACAGCCCCAACAACCTTAACTACTTGCGGGGGCCAAGCACCAGCGGCAAGACCGGCTGCGCAGAAGGAATCACTACAGGGTCCAGAGATAGCAGCTACTTAGGCACGGCTGAGGATGGGCAGCGGAGCCTGCCCCCACGCGGCCCGAAACCATGGCCATCCAACGCCGGCCTCGTTTTATGCACAGATGCGCAGCACATGTGTATAGCTGCCCATGCAAAGGGAAATTGCGCCTACATTCATGAGGGCGCTCAGGTCCCTAAATTTCAGGCAAACTTGAGGGCCGGGGGGTTGATGCATTTGTCCTACGCCTGCCCCGCGCGATGGCCGTCAGAAAGCCGGGGAGCACAAGCTGAAGGAATCCGTCAAAGAAATCTGTCAGACTTTGTTGAGGCATGTTCGACAAGCCGTGGGCCTCAACAGGCTTGGAAACTTGCCACGGGCACTAGCGAAGCCAGGCGCTAAGACTTACATGGCGTATCGCTTCCGCCATGAAAGAGAGCAAGGGCACATATTTGCCGCCCCCTCTAGCACCAGCGCAGACCCACGTTACCGCACTTTGCGTGACCTTACAGAGCCAATGCCTCTGCATCCTTTTGCGGGTTAGGGTCTAAAACCTAAGCCAAACCAGGAGCAGGGTCGGCACCGGGTCCACAGGGTTTATCACTTGGACGCGTCGGCACAGGTTATCGTACCGGAGCTAGTATAGGAAGGCAGACGAGCCCAGCAGTGTGAGTGCACCTACTGATAGAAGCCTGCACAGCTGTAGCGCGGCCTGCGAACCTGCCTGGCTTTACCTGCCTGCGCAACATTGCCTGCCTGTGCACTGCCTATCTGCTCTGCCTGGGCAGCCTGGGCTGCAGATGCCTAACTCGGCGGCCTCCCATCAAACCTGACTTTTAAATCGGACCTGCATGTTGAATGGGCAGAACCTGCTTGACTTGCCTGGGCCTGACGTCGCCGAGCGCCTGATTCGCGTTTAACGTCAGGATACATTGAAGCATTGAAGCTTTGATGGCTCTGTCTTTGCCGGCACATTTTCCCCATCCACAAAGTACTTTCAGCCTGCGCCTGAGTGCTGCATACGGACCCTCGACGACAAGGAAGAGGATGGACCTGAGCACTGAGCATAGGATCAGGCAGAGATCTCACGGAATGAGTGGGTGCACCAGAAAAAGGGGGTCATTGATGCAAACCTAGGGCAACCGAAAAACCCCTGTCAGGCAGAAACTGGGTCTAGGGTTGGGGTTAAGGTCTATCCTTCGGGCGCCCATCATCAATCATCAATGCTGCGTGAATTGGACTCCCCCTTTCAACTGTCTCACGGAGCGTCACGGATCCGCAGCCACAGGGCTGCTTTGGCGAGAACATCCCCACTGAAGCGACAAGGACCCGTGCATGGCGCAGCGGTGGGCTTTAATTACGGCACCTCTGCCTGAGAGGAAAGATACGCCATGGCTGCTTCAACTGATGCGGAAGATTGACTCGGACTGTCTGGGGTAGGAGTGATGACCATAAGGCTGCCCATCGAGCGCATTGATACCAGAGAGGTATTCGGACGCTAGAGTTGCCTTTTACGCCTGGCTCCACTGTTTGACTTTAGGCAGCGCAAAGCAACACGCTCTTGCTAAGAGGAAGAATACGCACGGTTACCCCAAGTGGTGAGGTCTGTCTACATATGCCACAGGGAGTGGGCAGAAGCGCAGTATGAGCCTAACAATGAGAGGAGGGACGGACCTCTCCAAGCACCTGCTCCTGGACCAACACGAAATGCTTCTCGCCTGTCTGAGGGACGGCCCGGACAAAAACTGCTTGCATCCTGTCTCCTTGCGCCTTGATAGTGAGAATCATTCAAACCCCGCGTTTTTCCTGGGCCCAGTAGGGAATTCTTGGGAAAATCGGCCGCTTAGGCCCACACAAAACCGGGGTTTAGAGAAGCGCACGCTGTTCTAGTAGCTGCTCTGAAATCTGCATGACTGAAGGCTTGAAACGTTGCTCTCGCAATGATCTGGATCTACAATCCTGCCTGACTGAAACTCGGCCAGCTGGTCTGACCTGCCTGAGAGTTTTACAGAGACTTGGAGGGGCCCAAGTTTGGCCTTTTCAGGCGCTGCATCCTGGCACGACTTACATAGACTTGGGGGAAGGCCAAAACTTGGCCCTCTCAGGTCCTGCGTTTCAGCACGATTTACACACAGAGACTTGGGGGGCCCCAAAGATTGGCCCCCTCAGGTCCTGTGTTTCAGCGCGGTTTACAGAGACTTGGGGGGCCCAAAGTTTGGCCCCCTGGTCCTGCGTTTCAGCACGTTTTATTTCTCCCAATTCAAAAACGCACTTCTCGAAGTATCTCACGTAACCCGTTGTCAGAAAGAACTCATTCATCGAAATCATATTTCAACAAAATATAAATTATTGTTGCTCAAGGACCGTGCTTGAACCGTTTAAACTAAATCAACAAGATCGTCAAAAGTGTCAAGCATTGCAGACAATCTTCATTCCAATCCACTCGGACTTTTTCCCACAGTGGGGCGAATCATCTCTCTCTGAATCGTTCTGTCTGAACCATGTTCAGCTCATGTCTTTTTCATTGACGTTGTCAACGTGCCCAGACAAGAAGGCACAAGCTATCAGCAACGGGATGGCGAACGCTCATCCCCTCACAGCCCAACTACTCAGATAGACCTTAGTAACACGGCCTGCCAGACGAAAGAAAGAGCACAAAACTGCTTTATTCAGTTTGCAGTGCAATCAAACTCACAAAATCTCCATCAAATATATCAAAAGGTCAAATCAAATATATCACTCAATCAGGCGCAGAAAGCAGCGGACACTGGTCTTCATTTTGGCAGCGTGGGGCATCCAACGTCAGTCGTGGTTTGCAAGAAGGCACAACGTGTTTCACAAAGCACTCTATCCCTCAAGGCCGTTCCCGCAAGACGGTCCTGCAATTTACGGATTACATCATCCTGCATGAGATGTCCCGTTCCCCCACTTATCACATAGCACGCAGGAGCACGTGGCGATCCAAGCGGATTCGGAAGCTAGCTGGCAGATGCTTCACCTCTCCTCGTGACGGAGCGTCAGCGGGATTTGAAGCACTGGCTATCCGCTCGAACCAGATGCTCAGGTCGTTGGCAATTTCAAACTCATTAAGTTTGACAAGCAAAGCCTGCAGCACAGGTGAGCTCGAATTGCTCTTGATTAAGGCACGGAGGGCAGCGTCGTTGTCCAGGAAGAGGACTACATCCGTATGCCTTAGTTGGGAGCAAAGATCCAACACGCCACGCACAGCCGCTAGGGCCTCAAGCTCATAGATGAACCCCTCTTTGCCTTCCACATTGGGGGAAGAGATTTCGTCTTGGTCAAGATCTTCGGAGAACCACCTAAGTAATAGCCCATTGGAGTTATACAACAACGCGCCCAGACCGCCATGTCCCCCTTCGAATGAGGCATCGGTGTAGAGGTGCATACAGTTGCGGTGTGAGGCTGAAACACGTCGTGCATCCCCAAGGACTATCCTATCCCTAAGGCAGGTTAATGCAACACGTAGGTAGGTCATCTGACATGGAGACGAAACCTTGGTTCCGGCAGGCGGAGGATAAGCAGCGCATGTATTGGCAAGCCAGTCGGCCAAAGATTTGGTTTTCGGCAAACAGCAACCTCCCCCGCAGGGACTCGAAGGTTTTGGCTGGCGCCCCTCCATTGGAAATCATGGAAGCGATGCTGCGTGCAAGTTCTGCCTTGCGCGACTTAGTGTTGCACACGCTGAAAACGCCAGCACGCGAATCGGCCAGGGAAATTTCTACCCCCAATGCTCTGGCATAGGCGTTAAAAGGCGCTTCTTTTTCCTTGGAGGTTTGCCAGTGAACCAACTCGAAAAAAGAGTCGAGGACCATGCACAGATGCGATGATTCATCATTGCTACTCACGACCACATAGTCGTCGTAAAAGAGTGACCAATGAAGATCCAACAACTTTACTCCTACGTGCCAGAGGCAATGCGATGATCTGTAGAATCCCAGCACGGACGGTCGCGAGCCGAAGGGCAACACGAGGCTTTGAAAAATGTGGACGGTTTTTTCACTTGGGCACCACACGCTAAGGTAGGCGTCTTTGCGAGCTGACTCCGAAAGGGGTAGCTGTTTGTAAGCTTTTCGAAGATCAACTGTTTTGGCAACCAGGCATTTTGGCGCTCCCGCACGTCTAGCCGTCTTGGCACGAAAGACCAGGCCTGCAAGAATGACATCAACGCTGTGGGGTGCAATCGTCTCTTCACCACAAGAAGTGAGATTCGCGAGGGATGCAGTGAAGTCATCAATGGGTCTCACCTTTCGAACGCTTCCTTTCTCGGAGTCGAAGGAAGATTGCACTACCCCAAACCTACGAGTCAGTATGGATTGGGGCGGAAGATCATCCAGTGGGATGGGACCTCTCACCCAGCCCTGCTCGACCTCTTGCATCGTCAGGTTGTAAACTTCCTGAGCTATTTGCTCGTCTTCTTTCTGCTGACCGGCAGGCTTCGGCTGTGGCTGCTAAGGCGCTTGCCTGATTCTCCTTGGCGACAGTGCGCACGTCCTCAATTGTAAGGGAGGCGAAGGAGGCTTTCTTCGGAAGCACATTAGAAGCTGGGATTTGGCCCAAAAGGTCAAAGCCTTTGCCTATGTCCTCCGGGAGACTTTTGTCTCCATACTCACTGGCAGCAATCAACTCCCTGAGAAGCCGCATGCACTTTCCTTGCAAAAGGGGGGCTATCGAGCTGTGCACACACGGGTCTGGACCCAAATCCTTTAGCTCTTTGGCACGGAGGAACCACTTTCTCAGGACTTCTGTGCGGCCCTGTTTGACTCTCCTTGTGATGGCCTGCTTCAGTTGTTCGGGCAGACAGTTCGTCAACATTTTGGGGTGTTGAGCTTTGCAGGCAAGAGCAACAAACTGATCTGGGGTCCAGGGGATGCCAAAGGTTTGGTGAACTTTGGACGGACTCACTTCCAGCAAGGCATGTTCGTCGGGTGGATCCTTTTTTGGCAGTGTCGGGGTCTCAGGGTCATTGGGTCTAAGTTGGGAAACTACCTTAGGGTCACCCCTAGAGGGAAGGGAGGAAAGCAACTTAGAGCCGGCAGGTAGAGCATGAAGACTTGAGGAGACATGAATGGCGGCCGGGATGGGGAAAGGAGATTTCAGCGGTGAAATCTTCGGCATGAGCTCCGGGGGCCCACACAGGCTGACACGGGAGGAGAATTCCGGCACCAGTGGGGGCAACTTCTTTCCGGCCTGCTTGGAGAGGGCAACTTGGGCCGCCTTGTGCACAGAAAGGTCTGCAAGGAGCAGAGACTCCACCGGACCGCGGGCACCCATGATGATCAGCTGCTCACGGACTGCACAGGCCATGGCACGGCAGAGCATAGGAGGATACGCCACTTCTGCATGAGCTGCAAAGCTGCCATTGGGCAGGAGGCCCCACGGTAAATGAGCGTGATTTCCATCACACAACACACCGACCTTCTGCAGCTGTGGAACGCCATGCGCGAAGAGAGTATGCTTTCGACGCTGACTGCCGAACATACAGTGATGAGCGCGGGTCAAGATGTGAGGGATTTTCTGAAGAATCTTCATGGGGCTGGTTGCCCAAAAAAGGCTCCTATTTGGGTTCTCACACAGCCAGAGGAGCCCATGCTCGAAGGCATAGGTGATTACGTCTGCTGTGAGCTGATACAGGCAGTTGGCAACGCTGACACGCTTGAGGGACGTTCCGATAAGGCCTTCAAGGCCGTCAGGGGAGGTGTGGCTGCGAAGTGGCTGAGGAGCTTTACGGCCAGGCACCGGTATGGACCTTGCCGCACTGGCTGTGCCGCAAGGCGGCGCTAGATGTAGCGCCACGACGGATGGCTGCCCGAGGATTCTGAAGAGCAACGCTTGCCCTGAGGTGGTGGCAAGATCGATGGTTATGAGAGGACACAACAAACCATCAACGGCTTTGTGGTCTACCCCTTTGCTGTGGGTAAGGCCTGACTTACGAACCGCAGCACACAGACCTCCTGCACCACAGAAAATCTCTATGAAGGTCAGGTCGCACAGAGGGCCGCCCGATACACGCTGACGGACACGCGTCAGGTATTGCTGGAGGTCATCCGGCACAGGCTGGGGAACTGAGGTAGGCGGGTCACCCGTATGAGCAGCAGGTCTAGGGAAACCTAAGCTAGAAAGGAACTCTCGATCACCTTGAGGAAGACTCGTTGGAGCGGCAGCGCCGTAGGCAATGAGTATGAGTCGGTCACCTGTGCAGGGGCGCGTCTCATGTAAGCAAGCTTTGGCAGGAAGCCACTAAGGTTGCCGCAGGCTCAGGAGGTGGCCTAATGAGTTGCATGAGGCATCCAGGCTAGGAACGGTGCCAGTTGGCGATGCGAACCAAACTTCCCCATGTTGGAAATCAGAAAGTGGGCAGAGCAGGTTGAAATCACTGTGATTGTTGGCATCACGGTGCAAAGCGGTACAGACATTGAGGTTCAGGGATAGGGCATCAAAAGTGAAAGTGGGGGCTATTGCCCGAACACACTTTGCCAGGGCTGCAGCTGACGCAGGAAAGGCACGTGTGCTGTGATGGAGTCCGTAGACTCCACCATGACGGAATGCGCCAAACAAAATTTTTGAGCCCGAAGATTCAATGGGTCTTGCAGGGGTGTCAATAGGAAGCAAAGAAAACAGGTGGGCAAGGTCGGCTTTGGAGATGGCAGGCTTAGCTAACAGCTCCTGAGCGAAAACTTCGGCTTGAGACACTGGCGACGCCGGGGGTCGCTCAAACACAAGAGGATGCTTGACATCTTGCACAACACTGTACATTGTGGTCAGTGAGGCACCTGAGCCTGGACAAAATTGGCCGGCACGAAAGTTGTTCGAAGGGGCCTGCTCCAGGGTTGGGGCCTCGCTTGTTGTTTGTCACTCGTTGGTGCGATATGAAGGGCACTTGAAAAGGGGATGATTGCCAAGGCAGTGCATGCACACATGAGAACCCCTCTTGCAAGCTCCATTCCGGCCAAACTCACACCCCTTTTGCAAGTTGAAATTCCAGCAAACACGAGAGCCATCCTCGGTGTTGTGCTTCAAGTTTGGATCAGTCAGCCCGGCTGGCATCCTCAGACCCTTGCCTGAATCTTTACCACCCTTCTTGGCGGCGCCATCAGCAGTGCGTTTCTGGCCCTGACCTCCTTTGTTGCCACGGCCCCTGCCTTTGTTCCCGTTCCCGCCCTTCAACGACGGGCCTGGCAAAGGATTTAAATGATACATTACTTTAAGAATGCTAGCCAACTCTTCAATGGCCTTGTCTAACGGCAGCGAACCTGAAGAATCCCTCTTAAGAGAAGGCACGTGCTCAGCCATGTATACGAAGGCCGCCCGATCGCAGCGCAACAGTTGTTCCATCGTGATGCGACTGTAGCGCGGAGGAGGATGTTCGGACAGGTGGCCCAGGAGCTTGCGATGCCACTTGTCCATCACTGAAAAAGAACAAAGCTGCATGATGTCGCAGGCCAGCGCGCGCCTGGAGAGCGCCTCGGCCAGCTGCAATTCAGTCTGCAAAGAGATCTTGTCTTTGTAGGCGCGATCCTTGATGAGGATCCTTGAGGATTCATCCAGAGTGAGCTCCTTGCCTGGCTTGTCACGGGATACCTCAGCGGCTCTGGCGAGGAACCGGCGCGGCTCAAGATAACTTAGGAAATCTTGATCAAGTACAGCGCCTACATATGCATAGTTGCAGAAGGCATTTTCGTATGAGCCAGTAAGCTCAAGTCCCACAAGTCTTTTCTTCTGCTCATTAATCCTTGCTTGGCGTTCGGCTGGAGCCAAGTCCGTCTTCTTGTCGGACTCACCTTCAAGGGAACTCTTCAAAGTAGTGACGCAAAGGGCTTGCGCTTCGAACATAAGTTGCCGCATTGACGACACGGCCCGGACTGCAACTGAACCAGGATCACTGGGCTTGATGAGTTTCTGCAAAGCTTGCTCATCTGGTGGATTGCCTGGCGTAGTAGCACTGAATGCCCAGCAAGGATTTCACTTCATCCTCCGTCAAGCCGCATTCGCGGGCCCTTTCTTTGAAAGTGGCCTCACTCTTCAACAAGGAAGTCATGGCTCACGTTCTATCCTTAGGAGCCGATACTCCAGCAGGGTCCAGCAAGGTCCGGGCATGTCACATGACATCGTCATGAATGATTCACAATCAAGCTCCTGCAAGTCTTTCGGTGGTCCGGCAAACCCACCACTCCCGCACGTTGCAGCACAAGTGTTGCGATATCCCGCAAGTCTGGCAAAGGCCTCCCGCAAGTCCGGCAGTTAAGCTTTGTTGCCAGCGGCCAGCAAGTTTCAAACAACGCAGTCAGACATGACCAGCCTACATGTGTGACAAGTCAATACATGGAAGTCCAGCATGAGATCGCACGACCCTTTCTTTTCAAGCAGTACGAACACGCTTCAAGGCTGAGTCCAGCGCCGTGTTGAGAGCTCCACTATCTCTGATTGGCTTGCCACTTCTACACTGACGGCACCACCACGACTCAACCATAACTCGGGCGGTGAAGGGCTGGTGATCTGCGCTCTGCAAGGGACGTCCGCACACAAAGCGCCCCTGTGACGAGCCTTTAGGTAGGAGGTGGAGCGTATTGGTCCTCACATGTTGGTATGTGTTGCAAAGGGGCTCGGAGGTGACCAGCTCAGGCGAGTCTTCCGCGCATTCTTCTAAGGCATTATCGACGCCCTCGCTGTCCGACGAATTGGAGCTGCTGGAAGATGAGCTGCTTGAAGACATCTCAGAGCCCTCGGGGGGCGCATCCTCCGATTGACCAACCACGCTGAAGGACTCCGGCTCCTGCGACTCCAATGCAGGGGATTGAGGGGCAACGGGTCGTTCACCCAGAGCGGCATCCTGGGCTTCCTGCAGTAGACCCTCGATGTCCTGTGGAGAAAGTCTATCGCGGGCAGGCTCATACCATTTGTCTGCTTCAGCATCCACCGGTACAGGTGGATCAGGGCTGCACAACATGCCTGAGCGCGTAGCGTCCGGTACGAACCGGCCTGAGCGGATGTCAGCATAAGCAGATACAAGCTCCCTGAGTGGGCCTGACTGTTCGTCTCTACTGTATGTCAAGACGGCGGTAGAGCATTTCGGAACGTGGTGTCCCAATATGCAGCGACTGAGTTCGGAGCAGTTTAACTTGGACATCCACGACAAAGTGGTGCACTTTGCACTGTGGTTCGTGAGCCCATGTCCCAGCTTGTCTGGGGAGGCTCCAAGTATCTCTCTGATCCACATAGCGAAGGCGCAGCCTTTGATGGGAAAACCTGACATCGATCCATTCTCAAGCGGAGCCTGCAGGATTGGGCCTCCATGCGGAATTGAGGTTAGGGGCATTCCGAGCTGCTCAGCTACCTTGCACCAGGTAACGCCCCACAAAGACTTGCTAAGGCCTTTGGTTGGGGCAACCAAGAACATCTTAAGGCCGGTGGAAAGCGTAAACCTTCGGCTCTTGTGCGATAGCGGGACAAGCTGAATGAATCCTTCACCTGAGGGCATGAAATCAAGGACAACCTCACAAATCTCCTTAAGATCACCTAGGACCTAGGCGAGCACGGCTATAGGAAGGAGCCCGCAGCATAGCGGTCCAGCAAAAGATTGCTATCACATTCAAGATAATCCTCAAGGAAGACGACTTCTCTGACCAGCAGTGCCCTGGCTTGCTTCCTAGGCGGGCGCTCCATCTTGGCCCTTCGAATGCGGCCTTGCAAAATTGGATGCCTCAGAACCTGAGGCGCCATATCTATATCCCTAGGACAAAGTGTCCGAAGTTGCATGCTTCAAGAAGTCCTGTGAAAGCACTTACAGGGCGACGCTCGCTACGCAGGTGGGAAGTGAACTCCAGCAAGACTTGTTCGTCAATCGGAAAGGCACACATGTTCTGGGAAGTGCACCACACAACTAAACCCGTAAGGGAGCTAAGCCTTTTCTTTAAGGTGCTGCACGCTTTGCCATCAAGAGCCTCGGCAACTAATGCCACACGCTCCTGACGCTCCATTGCACAAATTGTTCGACCCAAAGAGGAAGCGGAATAGGCATGGGCAAGAAGCAGCTCAAAGCGTTGTGCGACAAGTGAGCGAGCATCTTCAGGAGTAATCTTGACCTTGGCACACTTCAGGCTGATTGCGGCCACACGGAATGCACACCCTCTCGAGGCTTGGTACACAAAGCTGGCTTCTGCAGCATCAAAACTGGGTGCTTCCTCGGGCAGGTCACATAGGGGCACAGGAACGGCAGGCAGCGGGTCTGGTAATGTATCATCACAAAACAGCTGTTTCATAGTTCCTACTTCCCAGGGAAGTAGAAAAGGGGTCGCCTGCATGGAAGATCTTCCCTGAAGCAGCATTCTCACAATTTTATCGGACTCGTCTCCCCTAGACCCCACGGAAGAAGACGAGGCCGAAGCAGGTTGTACAAACTTGGAAAGCATGTTGAAGATCAAAGGTTGTGCCGTTCAAGGACTGCAAGGCGCCTGGCAAGACGGGACAAGGACACTGCCTGGGCTTGAAGACCGGCAGCTTGAAGAGCTTGGTTACGCTCAATGCTCAGCACTTTGCTTGAGACGTCCTGCACGGAAGCGGATAGGCTTTTGGAGATGTGCTCTAGATTGTCCAAGCGATCAGATGCGAAGCTGTCTGAAGCCTTTAAGGAGGCGAACTCCTGTTGCAAAGTGCGCACCTGATTCTGCACTGAATGCAAGTGCCTGCTCAAGAGGCTTTGCGAACTGCAGGAGCTACTTGCTGGGGAGTCCGCCTCGCTCCCGTTGGAGCCTTGTTCCATGCACAATTCCCCACACGCTGGGAATTGTGTGACCGCTGTGCCAGAGCACACCTCGGGTTACTCGAGCCTTGGGCCTGCTAGAAAGCTTTAAGCGCCTCTAGAGACCTCAAAAACTTTTCTCTGTCCTGCAAGAGCCAACTGACATGTAAGTAATGTCAACACACAAGCCATGATTTCATGAAATCCCGCATGCAATCATGAAATCAAAATGGAGACGTGAGTTTGGAAAATTGCAACAATTTTCACACGCACTGCATGAATAATAAAACTACCCCCTTTGGGGGAGTTTGTTCGTCTGCATGTTGAGCTGTCCACACTCTTCAGCAACGCAAAGTCTTCTCAGACCTGCATGAACGCATGCCTGGCAACTGAGTGTGAAGGAGGTAGTCACTCGAAGGAAGTAACGAAACTGAGCTTGAAACTGTGAAGTCTAAGATGGCCCAACGCGACTGACCTTCTTTAAACGTCCTTGTACACACACGTACAACCGAGCAGAAAGCTGTTCA